TGTTAAAAGTTCTTTCTTAAATCTCTTTGGTAACCTGAAATTATAAAGTTTTGTTAGCTACCTAAATTAAATGATGTATATTCATTGACTGCCTAGACCATTTCCAAATAAAATCGAATAATGAAACATTAATTACTGAACATAGATTTATCTACTTTCTGCTTATTATAGAGGAACTAAAGATATTTGGGTCTAATATCATTGTAATTAATTAGGTGTTAATAACAGAAAAGGAGCAAAGAGAAGACCAAATATTATAGGCATGTCATTTGGGCAGCTTCGCCAGGAAACTACAACTTCACACATCCCAGGGATCCGATGGAGGGGAGATAGTCACATGCCCAGTAAAGTTGGGGTGACATAGGGAAGGTACTTGTTTGTCAGTCACACCTGAGAACAGGTCACTGGGCAGAATAGGCTTGGCCACTGCAAGGGCGTAACATGTGAAATATTTAGTCCCCTAACAAAGGAGTTTGCTCTATTGTGCTCTTGGTTTCTCTTGGCTTTCTTGGGACGGTTGTTGCTTCGGGCATGTTCTCTTGGCTCTCCTACAATCTCCCCCACGGTCCAGGTCATGTGGACCCCACATGCAATGGACTAATGGACTGCACCCAGCCTGATACTGAACTGGACCCAGCTGCAGCATGGAAAGGAACTCTGGACACTGGCTTTGCTTTTAGCTCTACTGAAACCCCAGCTACACTTCTTCCGTGACTGGAATGGGACTTTAGATAGCCAGGAATGTAATTTTGGAAAAAAAAAAAAAGCTTTCTACCATATCTCACCCGCCCGTGGGAGCCTCCAGAAATGCTTATTCCAGCAGCACCTCAAGATCCCCACTCCCAATAGTAACAGGAAAGTCCACCCATGCTTTTCTCCAGTACCAGGTCCATTAGCAATAATGTCTAGTGAAACATTAAAAAATGTGCTATAAGGAAATATATTTTTAGAAAATTTTAAATGTGTTTATAAATGTACCAACCTAAAAAATACTGGTATAACAGATAATACACAATTATTTACTTCTTAGTTTTCACTAGAAATTAAGTTTTTTTAAGGTTATAAATTTTGATATATGTTAATTAAAGCTACAGAAATGAAAAGTAATAGGGAAAAGAACTGTATACAGAAAAATACTGTATGTTTTGGCTTTTAGAAAATGGTATGAGATATGAAGATGTGTTTTCGTTAAGGGAAGTGAAATAATTTTGTCCTGGTTATTTCTGAATATGTGTGTATGTACTAAAAGGGACACAGAAAGTTTTAGAAAGTTTATGAAAAATAAATGTTGAAAAAGGAAGTTTTATGTGTGGTGAATAAGACTGAAATTTAATCAAGTAAATGAATTTAAATATCACAAGTAAGGTGATACAAAATCAGAGTCTGGTTCTCTGAGAAAAGGACTATTGGTCTGCTGCTGATACCGTGAAAACACAGACAGCCACGATTCTGTGCTTTATCATGATAATTTCTGTTTTATATTGTCTCAATCAGGTCCTTGATTACTTAGGAAAATTGAACCCCCTCAGTAGTAACAACTAAGTTTTGCTAACCATTATGTAAACTTCTGTATTTTCTTCAAAAATTTTCATTGCCACTTTGGTCACATGAATACGTAAGTATCACTTCATAATGACTTATGATCCTATTTTGTCAAATGTTCAAACATCTTTATATATTTTGACAAACTTCCCAAAATTTAAATTATAAATAAGAGTATTGACCAGGGAATGATTTTGAGGTGTTCCAGAAGGGTCCCTGGAATACCTCAAAAAATCTGTTTTCTCTTCTTATAAAAGAGAAATGTTAAACAAATTAGGCTTATTTCGGTGTGTTGAAATTACATGGGAAGCATTATCAAATAAAAAAAATAACACTGAGCCTTCTTTATGTTATAAATGTTCTAGAAATATATGTAAAATTGCTGAAAATCTGAAATGTCCTGAATCAAGATGTTTGTCATCAAAATTGAGGGACACACTAAAACAACTGAACCTCAGTCTCAGATTGTGGCACTCGGGGATGAAGGCCATCCTGATGTCCTTGTGATATGGCAACACTCTGCTCCTGAATCATAGAAATTAAGATGGGTAAACAGTGACTGTAAATGACATGAACACTTGGGGCTACGGGAAAGCCAGGACAGCTGCATGGTTCTAAGCGGCTCCCTGGCATTTTTTCCAGTTTTTACTGGTACATTCCTTCATCCACTGTAGTACATTTGGGCTGGACTTTGTTCAATTGCCGCTTAGTCCGGGTTAACAGTATATTCTTGTTGTTGTGTGAATGTTTTCCTAGATGAGCTGAAGCTTTCCTCTGCCACAAGGCTGATGTCCTCACAGAGGCAAAGAAACTATTAAACTATTAGAAAAAGTGTTTTCCCACTGGGGTGTACCTTCCAAAATCTTTAGTGAGTGCGGCACCCACTTCACTGAGAAAAACGTATGAGCTTTGGTGAACAACCTTGCAAACTTCTTGGAATTATCATTGGCCATATCACCCTCAATTTTCAGGCAAGTTGATAGAACTAATGGAAAACTAGAATCAGGCAAACCAAGTTTAATTACACAGGATAGAATGGACAGATAAGAAGGGTCATAATTCTACGACTTTTTACTTAAAATATTGCTAATTTTTAAAGTATTGTTTTCCAGATACAGAATTTTTTCTTCTTTACACCTTTGTTATGTTTCTCTCTAAATGATCCCTCCAGACTTTGCAAACTCAATAATTGAGTAATTTTATTTTCATGGCATATAGCCTCTTCAGTAGTAACAACTAAGTTTTGCTAACCATTATGTAAACTTCTGTATTTCCTTCAAAAATTCAAATATATATATTGCATATGTTCAATAGGAAACTGTTCTCTTAATAACAGGACACAATTGGAAACTAGATATATTACAAGGCTTTGATTGGAATGTCATATTTGAGAGAGAAATGCCTAAGCTCATATATGACTAGAAAGCTTTAAGGAATTAAGACTGACTTTGAAAGCCAATAAAAACAGTCAATTAAAAAAGGTACCAGCTTGAAAAAACAGTCTGGTACCTTGCTAACCGTGGTTCACCATAGTCTTTCCAGATAAGGAATGAAAGTTGCTTCCTGGGAGATGCAAAGAAAGAAACTCAGGATATTTTGGGAACCCCGAGAAGAAAGGAATTAACCCCAAATCTAGAGTTAGTGTAGGCAAGGTCTGATGGCTAGTATGCAGCTTGGCTTCTTAGCTTCGAGAGAACTTTAAAATTCAGTCTGAAGATTCCTTCCAAAAAAGTCCAGCAAAGACAATTTAAGAGAGCCTATGTGGTTGATTACTATTCTTGCTGGACCTATATCAGGACAAGTTTATTGAAACTAGACTTACTTTGCAAATAAATTCGTTTCCATTTGGCTATCTTTGACAAAAAATGAGGGTCATTTTAGAGAGAAAATTGTTTCAATAGAAACTATAATATACCTCTGTGGATATTAGGTTCTAGCGCTGTTTATCATCTTTTCAGTTAAAAAAATTTTTTTCTGCCTATAAACTAAACTGGATCCTGAATTTTTATATTTTTCTTAAATATCTGGCTGCAGTTCTCCAAATTAACATTTTCATTTTCCCATCCATTGACTCAGCATCATTGGGTACTGAAATTGCCTGTTTGCCAAGGCCAGGCAAGCTAAGGTGGGAAACGTAGATGTCGGAGAAATCATCACAACAATTCATCTATGTACAATCTTTGTTCCTGCTACAGAAAGATCACCACAGACAGTCAAACGTCGGACCAGGAAAATCTATCAGACTGTCACTCCTATGCTAACGCCATATGAAGATGATTCAAAACAGGCAACTAGAAATCTCAATCACCTGCCTTCAGGACTCAGAAACTGAGATTATAGTCTGCTCTAAACATGAAACTTTGTTTTTCCTTTGTTTCCATAGAGAGGCCTCTGACTAAATACCTGACTATTTGCACCATAGGCTTAACCTTGGCAGCCTATTTGCCTCACTGCCTCCTGAAATGAGACATAACTGTTTACCTGAACTGAGCTTTCCTCAAGTCTGAGACTGGTTCAATGACATATAGAACAATCTAGCAACCCAACTTCTGCAGTGTCAGACTTCCAGGAAGTTTCAGATAAAAGTCAGCCTAAGATGTGCTTCTGTGCTATGCAGATTGTTTTGAGCTAAAGGCAATTTTGGCCACAGGCTCAGGAGAAACTCTGCCCTCAACCCTTCTGTGCCTAGAAGAATTTGAATTAGAGGACTTACCCTTAGGAGATTATCAGTGACAACCTTTCAACCCACCTTCATGGCAGGGCAAACTTTTATTCACTAAACATCTGCTCTTTCTTTATTCTGCCATGACCCTTTGAGTCCCCCAAGACGTATTTCCACACCCCTAGCTCAGGATGTCTTATATGCCTCAATCCCCCTTTCCATGCCAACCTCTCTTGCATGTGGTGTCTCTGACTCTCCCAGGTAAGCAGGGTTCCCATTCACGTGTATGAATTAAGTTTGGTTATTTCTCTTGCTAATATGCCTCATGTCTATTTGATTATTAGACCAGTCAGAAGAGCCTTGAGGATAGAGGAAAGTTTGTTCTTCCCCCATGGCAGCATTATCGGTCTGGCCTCAGGACATGGCCTCTCTTAAGCCTGGGAAATCTGGCTTGGTTTGGTACTTTTGGACTGGACACAACCTGGCCTTTAGTTAGAAGTGATGTGTTCCGATTTTGAAATTCAGATGCTTAACATGTGGGATGCAAATTAATCTGTCTTCCTGTACTCAGTTTGATGTCGGACAAACAACTAATATACATGGTTACAGAAGAGCAAACCCCCATTGATTTGTACATTCCTAACTTGAAAGGTATGCAATGTAATCTCACCTCTGCCCAGAAGGCAACGCTGTTTAAATTGTTAACATGTTGGAGGTGAATTGCTTGAATATTTTTAATTGAATTACCTAAGAATTACTTAAAAAAAAAAAGATGAGGAAAACAGAATATCCTTACCAATTAGTAGAGCTTCTTTCTCTGATTTTAAGCCTTGACTTCTTTTCTCAATGTTGTTCTCTCGGTCTTGGTTGACCAAAGCGACTGTCAACACATTGATTTCCTATAAAATTAAAAAACAAATAGATATTTATGTAGATTTTGTGCATTTCAGTAAAAGCACTAGGTCCCTTAAACTCTAAAAAAGAGGTCATCACTTACATTTATAACTGTAGATCAATTTTTATAAGTAATTGCTCTATTTGCCCAGCGGTAGAAAATAATTCTAGAACTTAGTCTCCTGACTACAGCTCCCAGAAAACCAAGTAATTCTCTGCAAAAATGGCAATTTGGTGCAAATTATCTTAGGTTTCTGTCCATGTTCTTATTTACTAACTATTACCAAAAATGATATGTGATTGTAGCGACTTTAACAAGTTTTATTTCAAATATGACAAATTTTTTGAAAAGCATACACAGGCTGATTTATAATTCTATGCCAGTGTGTGTGTGTGTGTGTGTGTGTGTAAGTTTAATTATCAGAGACCTGCATATATGGGGCGGTAGAATCATTAGGGTAGTTGAATCCTGTTGGGGGGAAATTTCTTACTGATAGATAGGTTTCAAGGAAGAATTAGTATATTGAGCAAAGAGTTAAGGATGATGTTCTAATAGATAGTAGGGGATCTGCCAGAGGACACGGGATAGGTAGGTAGGAAGGAAGGAGAACTTAGAAAGTCTGGGCAAATGGTTTGGCAGGTGTTACCAGGACTGGAACTGGCTATAGGATATTTAGCTAGTTACTGAAAATTAACAAAATTGGCCAGGTAAAAGAATACAGGAGATTGTTGGGAATAATGTTGAGCATATAAAGAACACAAGGCCCATCTGAAGGCATTCAAATAAAAAAGAGAAGGAAAAAATAACCCTCAGTGCATGCCAATTAATATAGATCTGTGAGCTGACTTTAATTTATGATCTACTACTTTGTAAATCAGGGATAATCATAAATTCCCAGGAAAGAAGGTCCTGTTGAAAAATTGCAGTTACTAAAGCACCATTTGTTGAGCACGTTGGAGGCTTCTCTAAAGGTCACACTTACCTGCTGAAGACTGAGTGATCAGGTCTGAGTGAAAGGTGAAGATCGGTAAGGTAAAGGACGGGGGAACCAGTGCTGTGGCAGGTCACAGGGAAGGTTTTGGTTGACTAGCGGGTACCAACTGGGGCCGGAGGCTGGTGGTAGGAACGTGCCCATGAGGACAGGGGTCAGAAAGTTTTGGGGAATGGGCTAAGGAAAGTGTGGAGCCAGAGCAACGTAAAAGGTCATTAGAGAAGAAAAATGTCTGGTAGCAAATGGACAGTTGCCAAAACGCCTCACAGTAGGGACAGATGCACCATAACAGTGAACACAAAGGTAGCACATTCTCAAGGACATCAGAGGACACACCAGTTTATGCTTCATATTTAATTCTGGAGAAAACATGGTCCAATTCTTAAGTCCTATCTTAAGAGTTTCGTGTTCCCTACATAGGATGTTCTAACTTATCTAGTTAGTAATTGGGCAACACATTTTACTGGGACATTGGATCATGAGTTAGCAAGGCTTGTCCCTTTCTTAAAAATTCACCGTCCTTATTACTTCCTCCCATCCCAAATCTTGAGACAGTGGAAGGAACATGAGAATGGGAAAGGTTCATTATTAGAAATACAAAAACTATGAAGATCCTTTTTATTTATCCCATTAAAATCCTCTTCTAATAGAGCTAATATGCCTGGAAGAATGATATATCTACTAGATGTTCTGGAAAAGGTTCCAGATGCATAGAAACTGAAAACTGGGCATGGATAAGAGTGGAGGGGGCAGGAGGGGAGGGAGGTTACTAAGAACAAATTGTTAAGGGTGTGCAAAGTACACAGAGGGAAAGAACTCTGGGATTGGGGTATCAAGAGTTTCCTTGCAGTGAGGTCAACAGGATTATGAAATCGAATTCTAAGGAAAGTGGCAAAAACATCATTCACCTTCAGACTGAGAAGCACTCGAGACTAGAAATGCACAACAGGTAACAGCTCTGCACTGGGGAGAAGAATGGACAAGATTATCTAATAAGTCTTCTCTCTTACCTTTGACTGTAATTTCTGTGACAGCTAGAAGAAATCATTAAAGGGCTGGAAGAGGTTTTCAATAACTAGAAACTAGATTTCATGGCTTTTTTTTTTTAACACTTCTTAAAGGGTTAGCTACTTGAAGTCAGAAATTTCCCCTCCAAGTGTCCTTACCAATTACTTTGAGAAATGATACTTTTCAGGAAAACTCTTTTTCAATAATTTATTGAGCTAGAATTGTACTTTGTTGTTGTTTTGTTTTTGTCCCTCTCTACCCACCCAGGACCCCAAGAACCAAGAATAATGGTTTCCTGATATTATAAAATCCTTTCATTATTCCCTTCATTTCATTATTCCTGTGGCCTCCTTAACTTTGGTGTGGTTTGCTCTCTACCGCAAAGCTTCTTGAACATGGGGTGTCTACCCACTGTGTCTACTGCCTCATCACTTGAAATCTCAGCTTTCTCATCAGTCACACCAGGAAACTATCCTTTAAAAGATTTTCAGTGACTTCTGTATTTTCTCAGCCCTCTTACCATGTGATACTTGACATCAGCACCTCTTAACCATCTGTATCACTTGCTTCTGTTACATAAGATGTCCTGGTCTTTTTCTTCCTAATTTTTTTTAGCCTTCACTGGCTTTTTCACTCCCTCTGCTGGCCCAGCATACATGGAGAAGGTAGCTTTCTTCTTCTTATGATCTAACTTTGGTACTTGCCCAAGGTCAGTCACCAACTTTTCTTCTCTTTTCCCTTTTATCAGAATTCTTTTATTTTCATGGGTTCAATTATCATCACACTTAACTTTTTAACTGTGTCTTATCATCACCTGACCATTGGGCTTGTCTGCTTGAATCGATCACTGCCCAGTTCAAATTCAAAGTGAGAGTGGGTAGGGGAGACAGACTTTAGCTGTGGCTCTTTCGCTAGGAACTGGCTGACCTTGGGCAATCCCTCTCCTTCTTAATTGCACTTTCACACACAGTACAAGCCCCGTATCTCTCAGAGGCATTTATTCCAAGCTACTTACAAGGTTCCCTTATCTCAGCACATTTCCTTTGTCACTTATGTAACAGTTGATCGCTTACATGGTTAGACAGAACTGACTTTCACTGGAGTTTGTTTTTTCAACAGAACCAGCAATTCCTTTAGGGCAGTCACAATACCTGACAAGGTGAAGCAGCATGGCCAAGTGGAACTGTGTTCCGATTCTGTTGCTGTTCTTTATGTGTCAGGTAGGGCATCTCTTAACTCCCTCTCATGTAAGATATGCATAATAACCTATGCCTGTCTACTACCCAGAGCTACTGTGAGGACCAAATGTCAAACGTGAGATGGTGTTTTTGAAAATTGCAAGCATCTATGAATATATTGTGGCATCATTATTACCAATATTATTCACAGGACTGACTGGATAATAACAGCTGCATAATACATACTTGCGGTACAGAATCCATGTAAAAAGTATGTATTAAACTTTGACTGCAATCAACTATACTAATAAAAGGGAAATATGCTAATTAGACCAGGAGGCCTTCCGGGAGACCTTCCCGATGTCCTTCCGGACAAAGCCATGGTGGCAGAGGCAGTTAGGGGCAATCAGGCTGGCAGGGGGGTCAGTTGGGGGTGAGGAGGAAAAAAAAATAAAAAGTAATATGCTAATTAGACCAGGAGACCTTCCAGACGTCCTTCCAGACAAAGCCATGGTGGTGGGGCTTAGGCAGAGGCAGTTAGGGGCAATGAGGCCAGGAGGGAAGGGCAGCTGTGGGTGATCAGGCCAGCAGTCAGGGAGCAGTTGGGGGCAAACAGGCCAGCAGTGGGGGGGCAGTTGGGGGCGAGCAGGCTAGCAGGAGGGCAGTTGGGGGTGAGCAGGCTGACAAGGGGGGAAGTTGGGGACAAGTAGGCTGGGGGGGCAGTTGGGGGTGATTAGGCCAGCAAGCAGAGTGATGAGGGGCAATCAGGCAGGCAGGCAGGCAGGCCAGCAGTTAGGAACCAATGGTCCCAGACTGCAAGAGGCAGTTTAGGCCCAATCCTGCAGGGATCCATGTAGGACTGGGCATAAACCGGCAGTCGGACATCCCCTGAGGGGTCCCAAATTGGAGAGGGTGCAGGCTGGGCTCAGGGACATCCCCGTGCATGAATTTTGTGCACTGGGCCACTAGTCTATCTATATATATATAAAAGCCTAAGCAACCGAACAAACAACCAGTCGCTATAATGTGCACTGACCACTAGGGGGCAGATACTCAATGCAGGAGCTGCCCCCTGGTGGTCAGTGCGCCCCCACAGCCAACCTCAGTCCCTCACACAGTCACACAGTCCCTCCCCCCCGC